CTGATACCACTTGTTAGGACTGAAAAAAACCAGGTGTCATGCGGAAGCTAGTAAAGCAAACCTTGAATGACAAAAACCACACAACAAAAGAGAAATCTACAAAAAAAGATACAAACATTTAACGTGGTTCGGTCAATTGACCTACGTCCACGAAGGAGATGAGTAATCCACTGTAATAAAAAAGAGTAAAAAATATCGAGAGAGCAATCTCACGAAGAGGCAAACACAAGTGACACACTAAAACTTTTTCCGTAAGTTCTCCTCCTAAACACGACTCTCAAACCCCATGTGGCTACATTGTGGATGCTACTGAATGAGAATGAAGGATCCTCAATTTATAGAAGTCCAAACCTTTTCCTACAAAAAAAAAAGACTAGCCAAATATGGGAGATTTATAATTTCCTTCTACAAGAAGGAAAACTCAATTATGGTAAATGTGTTCCCCTTTCCTTCAATAGATAGGAAAACCAAATATGGTAAGAAAATCAGGACCACACCTAACAATTCTCCCCCTTGGCCAGAATTTTCGGACAAAATAAATTTGATCCACCTTCTTCACATAGCCTTCAATAGGTCGCATCTCCAAATCTCCACCACAAAGTTTGTCTCAACGTGCATAGCACACCGGTCAAATTTCTCAGACAAAAATCATGATTATCGTCAAATATGTTGCGGCAAGAACTGAACCCGCCAAGATGAACCTGTCTTGAACCTTGCTCTTATACCACTTGTTAGGACAAACAAAACCAGGTGTCATGCGGAAGCTAGTAAAGCAAACCTTGAATGACGATAAATCACACAACAAAAGAGAAATCTACCAAAAGAGATACAAACATTTAACGTTGTTCTGTCAATTGACCTACGTCCACGGCGGAGAAGAGCAATCCACTATAATAAAAGAGAGTACAAAATATCGAGAGAACAACCTCACGAAAAGGCAAACACAAGTGACACACTAAAACTTGTCCCGTAAAGTTTTCCCCTAAACACGACTCTCAAACCCCATGTGGCTACATTGTGGATGCTACTGAATGAGAATGAAGGATTCTCAATTTATAGAAGTCCAAACCTTTTTCTACAAGAAAAAGGACTATCCAAATATGGGAGATTTATAACTTCCTTCTATAAAAAGGAAAACTCAATTATGGTAAATGTGTTGCCCTTTCCTTCAATAGATAGGAAAACCAAATATGGTAAGAAAATCAAGACAACACCTAACAATTCTCCCCCTTGGCCAGAATTTTCTGACAAAATAAACATGATCCACCTTCTTCTTGTAGCCTTCAACAAGTCGCATCTCTAAATCTCCACCACAAAGTTTTTCTCAACGTGCATAGCACACCGGTCAAATTTCTCAGACAAAAATCATGATTATCGTCAAATATGTTGCGGCAAGAACTGAACCCGCCAAGATGAACCTGTCTTGAACCTTGCTCTTATACCACTTGTTAGGACAAACAAAACCAGGTGTCATGCGGAAGCTAGTAAAGCAAACCTTGAATGACGATAAATCACACAACAAAAGAGAAATCTACCAAAAGAGATACAAACATTTAACGTTGTTCTGTCAATTGACCTACGTCCACGGCGGAGAAGAGCAATCCACTATAATAAAAGAGAGTACAAAATATCGAGAGAACAACCTCACGAAAAGGCAAACACAAGTGACACACTAAAACTTGTCCCGTAAAGTTTTCCCCTAAACACGACTCTCAAACCCCATGTGGCTACATTGTGGATGCTACTGAATGAGAATGAAGGATCCTCAATCTATAGAAGTCCAAACCTTTTCCTACAAGAAAAAGGACTAGCCAAATATGAGAGATTTATGTTTTTCTTCTGCAAGAAGGAAAACTCAATAATGGTAAATGTGTTGCCCCTTCCTTCAATAGATAGGAAAACTAAATATGGTAAGAAAATCAGGACAACACCTAACAATTCTCCCCCTTGGCCAGAATTTTCTAACAAGATCACATGCATGGATCACAAGTGCGGATGCCATTAAAAATGGACAACCCAAGGAATGGCACGTTCAATTTTAAAAAATAAAATTTAATTTTTTCCTTATAAAAAGAAATGTTGAGAAAACCCCCATACGCCCTCCCTCTTGTTCTTTCTTCACCCAAAAAAGCAGCAAACTCTTCTGGTTCTTCCCCCTCCTTTTGTTCTTCTTCTCCATCAGAGACCGGAAAATACCTTGGCGATCACCTCTATTTTTTCCTCTTAGATGCCCGTTATTCATAGCAAACATCTTTATTTCCCAAAACTCTTCAATAAAGAAACACTCAAACCAATGTGTATACGGTCAGAATCGGGCTTGCTCTGGAACGTGGCAAGCCAAGGTTCGACCCCATGTTATTTCAGACTGCAGTGTAAAGATAGATTGCTGAGCTCGTGACCCAACGATTGATCAAAATCGAGGTAGGCCAAGATCAAAACCAGGCAGGATAGAGATCGAACAAGATCGAGGGAAACTCACCGAGCCAGATAACGGAAAGCTAAAATATCCACAATCGGACGAGGATCACGGCGGACATCTCGGCACATATCAGGGAGAGACCGATTAATTAGTATCATGGGATTTCTTAATGTATTTAGAATTGCATCAAGGGTAGGACTCCCCTACTATAAAAAGGAGAGCTGATCATTTGTAAAGGGTATCATATTCATGCAATACAAAGCAATATATTGTCTTTCTCTATTTTTCATCATCTTGTTAGTCTGTTCTTGTATCAACTGAATCTTCACTTGGTTCAAGGGTGATCGAATTCGAGGTCCAAGGCTATTTGATTCGTTCTGTTTGCATTTATTCGTTTACGGTCAATTTCAATATCAATTTGTGTTTTTTCACAGTTTGTGCCAAGTAAAATTATGTGTCCTTAAAACCACAATATAAATTCAATTGTTATCCGTTTTTAGGGTAAACACAATGACAATGACCAAAATTGGAGAGCACCTTATGTTTTGCCGTGATACATGATAAGAATCATAGTGGTCCATTGGTGAAGGACAACGTGATTGTGAACGAAAATATGTAAGTTGTTAGTGGTTAAGGTGGATGTGAACGTGGTCTTCCAAATGTAAGTTTCTTCACCACCTCCCTCTCATTTCATCTTGCGAAAATGGTTCTTCTAAATGATTATGAGTTGTTGAACCCACCTGGAGAGATTTAAAAGAGGAAGCATATGCACCGTCTTGTTCATCTCCTCTTTCATTATGGATTTTCAGTGCCAAGGCTGCTTTAACATAACAACTGTTTTCAGCCAATTACATTATCCCTTTGAAAAAATACCTTCAATAGGGATTCAGATTAAAACGCCTTCAATGGTGTATGCATTGAGGAATGAACAGGTTGGGGATGTTAATATGGAGGTCGACAAGGATACAGTGTGTCAAGACCACCAAACAGACCATAGGAAGGCTGGTGATCTTAATGGAACAGCAATTCCTGGCAGTATTGCTACAGTAAACCCTAATCTGGGTTCTTTGTATGAGATTCAATTCAAGATGATGCAGGAAAATCTAGGAATTATGGAGAGGAATTTAGAGTTAAATGAGGTATCTTTAAGATCTCAAGAACCAGTTGAACAAGCCATAGTTCCTAGGGAGCCTGGGGAAATTGAAACACTGTCTATGGCATGTGCTTCTAGGACTGGATCACCTATGCAAATTCAAGTCAATGTGCCATTGAAGTCTCCAAATCAGATCTTGCGTGATATTATAACTCACAAAGAGCTTCCAGTGGATATTCAAAATGCCTTGGTTGATCAACAACAACAATTTAAAGAAGAGGGGGATGATGAATCTACTGCTGGGAACTTTAAAGCAGTTGCAAGGGAAGGTGATATATCTCCTAAGGCAGCAGCTAGAAGTGCAAAGAAAGGGAATAAGCAGACACAATCTAAAGGACCACAGCAACCTACAAGAATTTTTCCCAAGAGGGAAGCCTCAATAACAAGATGATGATCAAGACATTGATATGGAATATAAGGTCTATTAAAATTCAATAGGCCTTTCAGAGGGTTATAAATATGCAAAGGGAACATGGATTTTTCATTGTTGCACTTATGGAGCCATTCCAAAAAAAGAAGTATATTCAGAACTATAGAAGAAGATTGGGGATGGAAACTGCAATTTAAATGTGAATGGGAAGATTTGGCTATTTTTAATGTTGTGGTAGAATGGGATCAATTGATTGATACTGAGCAGCAGATGACCATTAAGGTGTATCATCAAGAAATAGGTAAGCACATTATGATGACGTTTGTCTATGCAAAGTGTCGTGCTTTGGAAAGGCTGGAATTATGGGATAATTTATATTATTTGGCTAGTGATATGGAGCTGCCTTGGTTGGTTAGGGGGATTTCAATGTTGTTCTAGGTGAGGAGGAAAAGATAGGTGGTTTGCCAGTTTATCCCCCAGAATATGAAGACTTTGCTTTTTGTATCATCTCATGTGGACTATTTGATCTTGGATACAAAGGTAGTCCTTTCACTTGGTGGAATGGAAGGCCAAATGAAGAATGCATCTTCAAGAGGCTGGATAGAATCCTTGTGAACTTACCCTTCCAAACAATGTTTCCAAACATAGAGGTGGAGCATCTAATTAGGATAGGATTTGACCATGCTCCACTTCCGATGAGCTATGCGGAAGAGGCAATGAAGTTTGTAAAACCTTTCAAGTTCCTGAATTTTTGGGCAAAGCATGAAACATTTATGGAGGTTGTGAGGCAGAACAAGATGGATGACTTTATAGGGGATCCATTCTTGATGTTCAGGCAGAAATTAAAGAGAGTTAAAATTGCTCTTTTCAAATGGAGCAAGTTGACCTTTGGGGATATATTCAAGCAGTTGGCTACTAGGGAGGATGTGGTTAGAATCAAGGAGATGTTGTTTGAAGAGGAGCCTACTGTGGAGAATAGAATTGTGCTTCAACAAGCTGAAGCTGAGCTGAAGAAGTACTTGAGCATTGAAGAGCAATACTGAAAGCAAAAAGCAGGTATGGATTGGTTTGAGGAAGGGGATAGAAATACTAGATTTTTTCATAACCATGACAATGGTAAGAGGAAAAAACTACAATTGAAAAGGATCCAAAATAATGATGGTGCATGGATTGAATCTCAAGAGTTATTGTCTACTGCTGCAATTGAGTTTTTCCAAAAGCAGTTCACTAAGGAAGAGGATCCTACAAGCTTTGATCTCTTAAACAATGTGCCTTCAATGGTGACAAGGGAGCAAAACCTAGAGCTATGTAGATTGCCTACTAGAGAGGAGGTGAAGACAGCAGTGTTTGCATTGAGTAGTGAGAGTGCAAGTGATCCAGATGGCTTTTTTGGCTTATTCTTTCAAGCATGCTGGGACATTGTAGAGGAGGACATTCATAGTTGTTGATGTTGTCCTATGAGGGCAGACATCTACCTAAGTATATAACCCATAAAAACCTTGTCTTGTTGCCCAAAAAAACTAGAGTTCAAACATTCTCTAATCTTAGACCTATAAGTTTGAGTAATTTTTATTAATAAGGTATTCTCAAGGGTGGCACATGATAGATTGGAGAAGATGCTGCCTTCCTTGATCTCTTCAAATCAATCTGGTTTTGTTAAGGGAAGGAGTATATTTGAGAACATTCTATTAACTCAAGAGATTGTTACAGACATTAGATTGAGAGGGAATCTTGCCAATGTTGTTATCAAGCTGGATATGGCAAAGGCTTATGATATGGTGTCATGGAAATACATAATGCATGTGTTAAGAAAGATGGAGTTTGCAGAATGCTTCACCAACATGGTGTGCAATCTGATTGCTAACAATTGGTACTCAGTCATGGTTAATGGGCAAGCTTCAGGATTTTTTCATTCAACAAGGGGTGTGAAGATCACTGAACAAATTGTTTGAAGACAAGCAGTTTAGAGGATTTGGCATGCCAAAGTGGACTGATCCATTGAACCACCTTGCCTATGCTGATGACACTATCATCTTTGCCTCTGCAGATCCATAGTCATTACAGAAGATTGTTGATGTTTTGGCTCAGTATGAGCACACTTCTAGACAGTTAATAAACAAGGGAAAGAGCTCATATTATATGCATGCTAATGTGACTGGAGCACTGGTGAACACAGTAGGAAATATCATTAGATTCTCAAAGGGTGAATTCCCTTTTACTTACCTTGGTTGCACAATATTTTATACAAGAAGAAGGAAGGAGTATTACAATTATTTGATCCATAAAGTGAAGGCATAGCTTCACTCTTGGAAGGGGAAATTACTGTCCTATGGGGGAAAAGCTACACTTATCTCTAGTGTGTTGCAAAGCATGCCTACACACATTCTTTCAGTTCTTGATCCACCTGACAATGTGCTTGAACACTTACATAAAACCTTTGCAAGATTTTTCTGGAGCAATAAGGAAGAAGGAAGAAGCAGGCATTGGACAAAGTGGTAGAATCTATGTCTCCCTAAGGAGGAGGGAGGAGTAGGTTTTAGATCTTTGATTGATGTCACAAAGGCATTATTTGCTAAGTTGTGGTGGAGATTTAGAACTACCAAATCCTTGTTGTCCAATTTCATGTGGAACAAGTATTGTAAAAAAGAACTACCAACTGTGGTTCAATTTAGGGAAGGATCACATGTTTGGAGAAAAATGTTGGAGGCAAGGGAAGAAGTTGAACATGAAATCTTATGGGAAATGAATAGGGGGTCGACTAATGTGGCCCTATATCATATAGTACCTCCAGAATTTCCAATCAATGAAGAATTGCAAGAAGTGACTGATTTGAGAGATGGTGAACACTGGAATGATCAACATATTGATCAATCCTTTCCACAGGATACTGCAGAACATATTAGACAAGAAGTGCATTTTGCTAATGTTGATGACTACTGGGGCACTCCAAGGTGGATGCCTACATCTTCTGGTAAGTTTACTGTTAGTAGTGCATGGAGAATTTTGAGACATAGGGAGCCAGTCAATCCTGAATTTGCCAAGTTATGGACTAAAGGACTACCTTTCAAAATTTTCTTTCTTTTTGTGGAGAGTTTGGAAGTGGAAGGTTCCTACAGATGATTTGTGGAGGACGGGGGGATATATGGTAGTGTCTAAATGTTGGTGTTGCTTACCACCACATGAAGATTCATTTCAACATTTATTTTTGACAAGTGATACTGCAATCAAGGTGTGGAAGACATTCATACAAGCTGCAGGTTTGGTGATCAACTTGGTACAGGTACATCAAGTCATAAGAGCATGGTGGAATGCAAAGTGTTGTCCTAAGCTAAAGCCTTTGTTTTGGGATATTCAAGCCGTGATTCTTTAGGAGCTTTGGAAGAGGAGGAACACAATGAAGCATGGTGGGGCAGTGTCTTGCAATGGGGTGATACATGAAGTAAATAAAACACTATACTATCTTGCAAAGGTGAGGTATCCTTGGCTGTCCGGAATCCCTCTATTGTGGCCAAAGATGATCAAACTTTTGAGAATTACAAGCCTTATGTAGTAACTAAGAGAATGACGTGGCAACTTCCCTATGAAGGGTGGTTCAAGTGTAATACTGATGGAGCTTCTAGGGGCAATCCAGGTCCTAGCTCTTATGGATTTTGTGTAAGAGATCATGATGGGAATTTGGTGTTTGGTAAGTCTAAGGAGATAGGAGAGGCAACTAATATAGTAGCTGAGGCTAAAGCTATTGCTGAGGGATTGGCATATTGTGTGGAAAGGCAGCTACATCCTTTGATTATGGAGACTGATTCCTTGGTGATGGGGAAGATCATTGATGATGGATGGGAAACACCATGGTGTATAGGGGAAGAAGAGGAAGATTAAGGAGATAAAGAGTACATACAATGTGCTCTTTCAGCATGTTCTAAGGGAGGGCAACACTGTTGCTGATTTTTTAGCTAACCTAGTTTTCTCTTTTGCAGGTACAATCACAATTCATTCATTCCATATCTGCCATCTGAAGGAAGAAAATTTATCAATATGGACAAATATCAAATTCCTAATCTTAGGATTAGGACTGCCAAGAAAAAATACCCTGACTGATGAACACATTATGCTATGTACTGCCTGAACCTGTCTCTTTGTGTTTCTGGATATTATTGAATCACTTCCCAGTGGTATTAGCATGTTATCATGCTCAATCTGGGGGTGGTTTAGCAATGTTCAAAATGGTTACTACTTCAAAGGTTCTGGCAGGATGTTCTATAAGTTTACAAGGCATTTCTTTGCATATTACAAGTACTAAGACTAGATTGGATTTACCTGCCGTTAGTGTTGTTTGTTGTTTCATACTGTATAACATCAGGGTGTTGCTCAGTGGTATTAGCATGTTGTCATGCTCAAACTGGGGACATTCTAATTTTATATGGACTAATTAACACAAGTCAGGTGGTGCTTGATTTCAAAAATGCACATGGCAAAACCCTGGTGAACAGTAGGGTTGTGTTGTACACAGCCATATACACGATCCTTCTATTCGATGCACTGTGCACTCCAACTATGCAGAATAAGCTAAGGGATCAAAGATGGGACTCCATAGTATCAAAAGGTGTTCAATTACACATACATGAAGTTGCATCTGCACCTTGGACACTACATAATGCATTTCTGTCTCTCAACTCATTGTTTCATCTGATATTCTTTCTGTTAGTTTGTGTATTGTATTATTATTTTTCAGTGGTATTAGTGTATTCACACACTCATTCTGGATATGATAATGCAATATGCATGTTAAGGTTGATGAGTGAGCAGCTGACTTATAATTTGACTTGGACAAACTCAGTACATTGCCTTGATTTGAAATGGAAAACTATATGGAAGGGATCATGTTGGAGCAACATTGAGGATTGGAAGATTTTGCTTGCTTCAATTATGTGGTGTAGATGTTTGGAATTCATTCTAGCCTATGAATTGCATACCCTGGCGCCTGGTGAGAGCTTGATAGGTGCTACTTGGTATTTTCCACTGGCAATTGGATTCACACACACTGACAGGAGAATGAAGCATTCAGCTTATCATGTTGTAATAGCTAGTTCATTAGACCTTAGCTTTTTTATCTTTCTAGTAGCTAGTAGTTTCATGCAACTTGTATTTTGTTTTGAACATCTTGTAAGCTTTGGACCCAATTATGAGATTTTATTTATATAATAACCACTAGACAGCCTGCCTAGTGGTATATTTGCTTTTTAAAAAAAAAAAGGCTTTCCCCTACCCAACCTAAATTCTAAGGGTAATCGATGTGAAGCATAAGGTTTAGAAGCAGCCGCTTTCCGTCATTCCCCTTGGACCTTAACCTCGGATCGGATCCTAGTGGCAGGCTCTTGGGTCGTCCAGACATTAGAAAGAACCGACCACATTGAAAATTTACGCAAGGTCTTCGAAAGGTTAAGAAAACATCAATTGAAGATGAACCCGAAAAAATGTGCATTCGGGATCGGGCGGAGGCCTTAAATCAGTAGGGCAATAGCATAGCTATTATTGACCTGACCATATCTGGTAAAAGTGGTGTCTTGATTTTCCCCAAACCCCCTTATCATGCCCCCTTATCATGCGTTTCTGTGGGAGCAATTTGTGCTAGCATTTTGACGCTACAGAAGACTGGCGGTCCAAGAAGGAGGTTGATGGAAGAAGTGGGGTCTACATTAAAAAAAAAAAGTAAAACAAAGATATAATTTTAAGAATCTAAAAGACCCAAAGATGTGTGAAAATCAAACATATTGTCATGTCAGCGAAATAAGTTTACGAGAAGCGTTTGTGTCAAGTTGAGGTGTCTAGATGCCCACTTGATAAGTTGGAGTGTTTAACTGACAGGTGCGGCCAACTTTAAGTGCTTGTTTATGTATTTTGCCTTAAAAGTATAAAATAAACAAGAAAATAGTTTTTTGAAAATTGTTATATAACTATCTAAGTATTTAAGTGAACTAGCTTAAGCATAAAAATAAAGAAGAATAAAAATATCATGAGATACAAGTCAACTATAATGTCCTGGTCACCCAAACACCAAAAACAATTACAAAAAATGGATATATCTACACATCGTCATCACACCAAGTAATTTGAGGGGGAAGGAGTATTATCTACTACGGAGTACTGTATAAGTTTTTTACTTCAAATGTAATTCTTCACTATCGTAATTCTATTTTGAGATGTAAGCAAAATTCACACAAGACTTGTACCCTTAAAGAAACAACATATACACTGCTGAACCCAATTCTTTGGCACTCCTTAATAAATCAAGATATAACTGAAAGGTGCAGCCTGAAGGGATTTACCTGAGGTAGCAGTTACTCATCAATTCTTGACGGCTAACATCACTTATGAACACAAAAAAGGATAACATTGTTATAAATGAGATGAAAAGATCAAATGGAGCTTACTGACCAAACACATAAGACAAAAATACCTACAATCTGTTTCCAAATGAAAGGTTCCGACTATCACCCTCATGGCATTTTCCAGATGAAAGGTTTCAAGATCACACTGATGGTGCTTTTAGACGAAAAGGTTTCAACTATCACACTTAACAGAGAATATGTGATATCAGTACTCAAATTTTGAGTTAATGTTCTGAAACTTCTTATTTGGAATCGGTAAAGACAATTAAGGAGTCGAGGGTTAGCTAAAAGATTTTAAGAGGAAACAAGGCTAATTAAGAGTTTTCCTACACAATTATGCTTCGTGATTCAACAACCTTCCAGGTCTACCTCGGGTTATTTTCTGTGAACCTTGCTCGGTGTCCTGAGGTGTGCCCATGGACAATGTCTGACCTTCACGTAAACATAAGTTCGGTGATCGCAGTGTTATCAAAGGCACGCTTAAGCCCTGAAGCGAGGCTCAAAACATGTTGACCGCTTCGCATGGCTTTGCAGGCGCTTCAGTATTGTCATCAAGACTCTAAGGCATACTTTTCCTTGCCAATGAACGTAATCCTGAAGTGGCGACACTAAATAATTGATATTTTACTTTATTTCTTCAATTTCTTTGTCCATATATTTGGTACTCATGCTTATAGATATTAGTCTTGACTACACAAACATGTGCTGTTTTTCTCCATTTGCACCTTTTTTCATTAAAGCCCACGCTTTATTTGCGCTTTGCGCTTAAAGCCCCAACAGACCTTAGAGCTTTTTTGTGCTTTTCAACTTTGATAACACTTGGTGATCGACATTATTAAAAGCACAGATTTAAACATCAAGCCACCTGCATTACCAACAATTGAAATGCAGATCAACCGTGAAACTTACAATTTCGAACTGTTCTCGTTGCTCGTGAAGATAGTGCTAATATTTTCATACCTTCCAGTTCCAAACTGTTCTACAGCTTTGTGCTTCTACTTAATCGACTGAAAATTGTCTCCTTGTTCTATGCTGTGAAAGCTCAGAACATCTATTTTTATGATTCACAGGAACCACGGCAAGTGTCTCTGCATTTACAGGCAGAACTATGGCCAATGCTTTAGAATCTGGAACAGTATCATCAGCTGATTGATCAATCGGATTCGTAAGAGGTGAAATCTCCAGTTTATGGTTATTCTCATCATGCTTGTCCAACTTAGTCGCTGGAGGATCTGACAAAGCATTGGGAGGCCCCAATTCTAAGATAGGACTAGGTGGACGCCTGAATATAAAAATGACTAATTAGACACCATCAGCTACCCATATAGTAGCCAAAACCTATTGTAACATTTCTTTCTCTATTCTTTTTGATAACTATGCAAAGCATCACTATTCAAAAGCATACAAGTACTCATCTTCCCAACAACAACAACAACAACGTACCCAGTATATTCCCACATGTGGCTCATCTTCCCAACAATACCTAGATAATTCTTGATCTGTAATGTATGATGCTTAAGCAGGAGTATCATCTTTAGGGACAATGATGGAGGACCTTTGGTGAAAACAAGGCTACAAAGTGAAGATTGCCATTCTGGGAAATACCGGCCTGCTGTAGAGTTCTATTGTCATCTCTGACCTTTCCCTGGTCAACCGTAATCCACTTCCCGTGATAGTTGTTTAATTTTGATAAGGGTGGTATCCAAGCCAGCTTGCGCATACCTCGACTAATTCAATAGGATACCTGCTACCTCCCACCAACACAAGTATCAGGTAACTCTGTCCACCAAAGCTTAGACAAATGGGGAAGAACCAACCTAGTGTATTTGTCTTTATTATGATTTGAACCTGAGATCTCAGGGTTATCCACTTCATCCACTTCATTGACCACTAGGGTACACCCTTGTATGCCACTTCCAAGGATAGCTGTTACTGCTTCATTTACTGTTCTCTGCATAAGAGATTAAAAAACTGTTTATTTGAAATTCCAATTATCAAACAAACAGACACAGAAAAAGAAGTTCTCGGCATAAAAGACAAAGAACTATTTATTTGAATGCCACTTATAAAAAAAATGTTTATTTGAATCTGCCTCATAAGAAAACATTTAGAAGAAAGTGACTCCTCGAAGGTAATATGAAGCTTTCCACACATAAAAAATGCCTAATATGCATGCAAAATCAAAGAAGCATAAATGAAAATAGGAGTAGTAGTTAATACCAAGGGCATAATGCAGCACCCATTGAAACCTGAGTGATCTTCTCAAAAACATATCTAGTTGCTCCTTATCAAAAAGGAAAAGAACATACCTACTTGCTCTTAACATTTGCACATACGATCATCTTATTAGTTGGTCTAATGTTAACATAAACAGTGTATACATCGAATCCCTACAGCTAATACTAGAATTCCTGGATGCATAAAGTCCAGCAATCTTGATTAAAGATAGAAGATTTTCTAGAGTTCACAATGCATCTGAGATTGACAGGAACAAAAAATAGAGTGTCTGTGAAATACCTTCAGCGAACCAATTGCTTCCATTTCAGGAACCTTAATATAAAGCTGTGGCACCTTGAAAGACTTGATGCTAAATTTTACTGGAAAGGAAAAGTCGACTCCGGTCAAAAGCTTTTTCGAGAAAAAAGTGTATCTAATCCAGAAAGGAAGAAAACGATACAAAAGTGGCGAAATGCAGCCCAAACTCAAATCTGAAGTCTCTTACCATTAAGATACTTCTGATGATTTCTAACTGATGCTGAAACCCAACTCCTGTAGAGAAAGACAGCATACTGCTCAGTAAGACAGCATAAACCACGGACCTTTAACATTAAGGATGCTAATAAGGTATTGAACTTCACCTGAGATTGTGGGAGAGGTAATAATCTCTCTCTTGATTCCCTTTTCAGGCGATTTTAAAATGCTTTCACTACTAGGCTCCTTGTCATATGCCACAGCACAGCTATAGTCATCACATAGTTCCCTTCTCTTGGATGATTTTCAAGTCGACGTCTTTCATTTGCACACATGCTTTTCCTATTGCGATAAAAGGGCTTCATATGGTGATTTCAGTATTATTTATAAACCAAGAAGTTACTATAGCATCAGACATTCAAAGTACCCACAGACAGACACACACACATCAATAAAATCAAAACTGAGCAAAAAAATAATACGTGCATCACTTATATGGGGAACTCGTTACATATTCATTAAAGCTGTGTCTTACAGAAACAAGTAGCTCAGGTAGTAAAAAAAGATAACAAGATACATTATAGACCACCTATCCTGCCCTTAGGTTGTTTGGATCAACAGAGGACATGAAACCAATAATGCTAACATTAAAAGTTATCACTTAAGCTCATTAGAACTGTTCCTACATCCCGGTAACAACGAATTGACTAACATAAACATAATCATCAGCTAAATTTTCTAGTAGCAGATTTTCTACCAAGAAGCTTGCTTTGCACTCAAAGACTACTATAAGATTACATCCGTCTTCGCACACGCCTAGCATTTGGATTAACAGATTCTGCTGCAGCACCATCTGCCAGATCCAACCCAAAGATGCTGCTGCTAGTCCTTTTCTTGCTAGACATCACAGTCGCCTTCTCATCAACTGATGCAACTGTTTCCAGTAGCTCTGACAACAGTGACGGGCAGCTCTCTTCTAAGTGCTTAAATCCTTCTGACTGCATGACTACTGTTTAACAACAATCAGTATTTTAGCAACTTACTGAAATAATGGAGGAAACACATCTTATACAGGCTACACATACATTAAGAACTTGAGGCTGTCAAACAAATTAAGCAAGAACCTGTATGGCACGGATTATAGTTCCAGCAGAGGAAAACAATACTATTGTCACATGTTGAGGCTTCCAGTACTTGTAACACATTGCCCAAACCAGATTATAGGCATAACGTTAGCTAAAAACTAGCAGGCACGAGACAATCAATTAATTCAACTTTATTATTCAAATTTCAACTTGCACAATCAGCATCAAAAGCTATATGATCATAAGTATAAGGTTAGCTAAAAACCAACAGCCATGAGACACAATCAAGTAATTCAACTTTATTATACAAAATTTAAAACGGGCAGATGGGAAGAAATCACCAAGGAATTTGTCTCTGTTGGAATTTGTACTCTATTCTCTCATGGTATTCATCCCACTATAATGAGCGTTAAGCCACACCCTTGGATGTCTTCCCACTCTTAAATCTCTCATGCCATCATTTAAACTTCAAGTATCCATCCAAACATTCTCTTTTATGGTGTCGATTGGAGAAGTGTAGCAGGAATATATCTACTCTGCAAATTTCTGGGAACTTTACCTCAGAACTTAACTTTTTAATAAATACAAAATATTTTCTCTAAAAATAGTACTACACACAACATCAAACTATCATTTTCCATGATTCCTGTCACCTATATCAGGAATCTTCATCTTTAAAAAAATGAAGTCAGACACTCAATATTGTACACGGAAAAAAAGTTACGTGCATCTACAACGTCCAGTTCAGCTTTTTTCCCTACTAGGAGTTATTAAAAGAAGAATAAGCATATGTTGGTTAGACAAGAAAAGGAGAAACACTCACGCTTAGTTTTAAAACAAGTGTGCCCCCATGCTAAAGAAGAATGATGCAAAGGTTAGATCTCATCATCTATCTATCCGCAACTAGTACCATTGGGTCTAGAAAACCCAATCTAGCTTCTCGCACGTACAGGACCCGACCACATTAACTAACGACAAACTTAGCTAACGAGCTAAACAAGGCCAGCAGATTGATAAAATTCAATGTAACTTGTTGGCTATCAGAATTGGGGGTTCCTTTAGAAAATGCAACTGCAAATATTAAAGATACATCCTTTTTAAAGATACTAACTCCAATAGCCAAAACCACTAACATATTCTTTCAAGAATTTAAGCAATGTGTCCGCCAAGTCCTAGGAGCCTAACCAACTGGCAGTACTGACATTCAACAATCCTCCACCAAGAGCTCCAAAACATTTTAAAGAAGTTCTAAAGGAGATCTTGTTATTATATTCCCATGGATACCTATTTTGCTAGATGCCTCACAACCGATTCCTGAACTTAACACCACAAATAATCTATTGGAAGCCAAAATCACCTTTTTATACAAAAGTAAGGTCCCTCAGCGAGATTCAACAGAGATTTTTTCTGAAAATGATGTTCAACAAAGAATTTTCAGAACCTAAGCATATCCATAAGTCATTTAGCAAAAGGAGTTCAGGGGACTATTGCTCTGGTCTATGGATACCAACTCTTATCTTCGCTTATCATTTGAACTGGACTACAATGAAATATGGCACAAATGCACTGGAAATGAATAATCAGAGACAAAAACATGTCTGCAGATAAACAGACATTGAAAAACTAGAAATGACATAACCTGAAACATTGCACTGCTCACATCTACGGACTACACGCACCTCCCAAGTTTGTTGCTGCAAATTTCAAACATATGGCTTTAAGCTGTAGGCATTGATGCTGCTCCGAAAGGGAAAGAGTCGTAGCCACTGTATCCACATTAACTTCTTCACATAATTTAGCCTCGCATAACTGTTTCAGCCTATCTAAACCAAAGCGGTCCGCTGCAGCCAATATATGCTGCATCATTATAGTAGATGTACGTGTTGAAGTAGAGCCAGCAATTTCAAGCAAATCCGGAAGCTCATCAGAGTAAATAAAATGGAGCATAGCCTACAAAACAGATGTACACTATCATCCCAGCTATTAGAAAAAGCCCCAAGGTTGGCACAAGATATGCATGTGCATTACAAAATGGTAATGAACAACTTTTATGGAAAGAAACTCGATTTGGGAAAAGTGAGGTGGAAACACCATGACTATAAGGGATGGAATTGCTTAGCTAACTGCTAATTTCTTTCAATATATCCTCTTAGCGATAGAAAGAATAATGGAGGACATCATTCTGTCAGCTTAGTTAGTTCTTAGATATAAATTCCAGAAAACCATCTAAACTTAGTATTATCATGAGGTTCCAATTTATATAGAAACTAGTAAAGGATAGCCCATGCTATGCATGGGCCCAATAGCACTATTACTTAAATATCGGAATAAAGATATGTATGTTAGAGTTACACTGAGTTCATCTTCAAAGGATATTAAAGTTATTCTCAAGTCACCTAAAGTCATTAAAATCATAATTTTATTAGTGTTAGCTAGTACTTGAAAATTAAAATTTAAAAGGAGCATATATTTCATGATCATATTGTGTGAATTAGCAGGAGTTATAACATTTTCGTTCTACTAATAAGCATTAACAATCTTCTTTTGTTGCAATATCAAGTTATCTAATGCAACTACAATTAGATTCACATTTAATATTACTTCATGTCTAAAATAAATATCATTTTAAATTTTTTGTATGATCATTAAAAAACTCATATAAAACAATAATTATAAAATTTATTTGATTAAGTTATGTCTTATATTATAGTCAAATTACTCATTATACTCTGGGGGTAATTTATTAGATCGAAAATAGATTTAGAAAAACATAACTAATGTCGTTTTAATTTCCCAAAACAACACTTATTTTGGTCAAATATATTTAGCTAAATAAAACGACATTATTTTTTAGTGAAGGGAATATAAGCTAATTTGAACTATTTACATGTGAAATAAGTAGAAGAAGAGGACTCTTGTTTTTCGGTTTTACGTCAAAATAGACTCTATTTTACTCAGGAAAATCGTTTGCTCAAATAAAGATTTTAATGTTATCTTTATAAGATTATAGAGATGCATATAATAAAGTTAGATGATTTTACTTCAATTATTGATTATGAAAATTAATACTACTATTGCTTTATAAGAAACAAAAACTCTTAAAGTTTGAATGATGGGAAGAAATATACGTTTAAAAAAAGAAATTTTGAGAGCACATATATCCAACTAATTACGTAATTTAAGTTAATACGGATCAAATTAAAAGAAAAAACATAATTGTGCAAGATTTAAGACATGTTTTATATCGCATAATAGAATCCCAATTGACCCCAACCACATTGCAACTTGAAAATCTCCCTTTCCATACAACATCCATTGATTATATCAGAAATAATTCTAGTATATTGCAAATTTTAACTAAATTATTTGATTATACAAATAGAATAATAATAATAATACAATGTATATGTGTATATATTTGTTTATGCATTTTATTTATACAATATTCCTAGTATATTTACAGAATAGGTAAAACATACCTAAGATATACATCAATATACATGAAATATTTATGAAATAATTTTAGTATATTTCAAATTTAATTAGAAAATTTTAATTATACAAAAAGTATAATAATTGTATAATGTATATGCCTTATTCAAAGGTCACGTACAATAAGCTACAAAACTTGACCTTTATTTAGAATTAGGATTGCTCATTTATTATTCAATTAATTTTATGAAAGAGAAAGAAAATAAGAAGAGAAGAAAAAGGATGGTTTTTCAATGTTATCTCCAATGGCATTGAAATAGTCGAAGAGGGCCCCACTTGATCAGTAAGTGGCACTGTGGCAGTTTTAAAGTATTTCAGTGACACGTGGCATGAAAAAGTTGAGGTGGACCCCATAATTCCAGAAAATTTATCAAGTGTGTACCAGCAATAAAGCTAACAAGTACAATATCTCAAAAGCATATAAACAATGAAATTCCAGAAATACCCCTATGCCAGGCAGACATGTTGACCATGAGCTGCCTGGTTATCCCCACTTATAGTATAGGAATAGAAATTGGCTGTCTTTCTGAAATATCACATTCTGTAGACTCTCTACTTTTTGGTATAGCTCTTGTACGTAGGATTGTATTTTCCATCACCAATAAAATTATTCTGCTTATACAAAAGATTTAGTTAGTTTTACCAAATACTGTAATGTTCAAAGATGTTTAATGTACAGAACATTAGCCATAAGATTCATTTAAGCCTAAGTATAACAATGCTAACTAAGAAAGGAATGTCTAATAAAGAGCAGTGAAATATAATTCATTTACACCTTTAACATACAAAATGAATCTGGAATGTCCATGGGAGGTCTGATATCCCCTCAATTATCTATTTTCACCCTAGCTTTCTTCTTAATTTTCTTTTAATGGCAGAAATCATTATATCAATGCAAGAACTTATTTTGAACAAAAAAAGCATGAACTTATTACCTTGAAAATTGAGGGCTCAATATCCTCAAGTTCTACTTTGTCTGAATTAGGATTCCCCACAAGCCCAAAGAATTGGGCTCTAAACACAGGAGAACGAGCAGCTAGTATCAACTTATGAGCCTTAAAAGTCTCTTCGCCAACACGGAAATCAATATCACAACCAAGTTCAGCATCCAGCACATATTTGAGACTTTGGCCCATGTCTGATGGAGGAACAGAAACACTATAATCTTTGGGTCCTTCAACACGAGTTCTCACAACTCCAACAGTACAGTGCATAGACAGGCAATCATCCTTCAGGTAGTCAGAAGTTTCCAAAACTGATCTTCTGAAAAATCGTTTGTAACCCCTGTACGTACAGGCAAGAAATTCCATTAGTTCGAGCAAGAGAGGAAGTTATCAATGTGCTTAAATACCATGGAATCAAAAAGGTAGTGTAGTGACCCAACAAAACAATTGGTGAATTATCTTGAGCTTTAACAAGGATACTCTTGTTATGAAGGGCAATCATAATATATCAAATCTGTCATTTTTCACTAAAAAAATTATATTATTCCATTAATACAAGATTTACAAAATAGTAACAAAATGAACTGTGGTTTCATCAACTGATCATTAATATGGAAGTTTCACGAGAGAACTGAAAATGGAACATACAAACACCATTCAAAGTGGTAAAAAGAAAAAGTTGAGTCCTCAAATGGCTTAGCCAGGGGTCAAATCATGAGGCTGAACCAGATTTCAGTAAGTCAATTCTCTAAAAAACTAAAGTTAATGATTGACTTGCAATCATTTAGAGTTTCCCGGAGACAAAGTTAGATATACCCCTGCAACCAAGGATTGGTTCTTTTTTACCTTTCTTTTTCTTAAATCTTATAAATACCAGTGAGTCAGAATCAACTTGTGGACACCTTGACTATTCCACCATATACTTATTGCAAATAGGAAGATTTCAGTATTCTGAATTACTCTAACTCTTCAACCACTAGGCCACCTCAACAACCAAGGTCAAAGGCTTGTGCACTAAGATCCCGCTATGCGGGGAAGGGCCGGTCGGGGGAATGGCAGGAGCAGATTGGGTCTTATATATACAGCCTCAAAGGCTGTTTCGGCAGCTTGAACCTGTGACCTCTGGTCACACGTTGAACAATGGGAGGAAATAAGAAAAATGCAATAAGGGTAGGCAAAAGCACTCCTATTTCAAGTATATCGACAAACTTCTAATATGCAAAATCCCAATTACACGCAACATAAACCCTAAGAAACATAAAAACCTAAACCATTTGGCCACGAATCTTGCTAATTTAATAGTGTCATTACACAAGCTAGCAGATGAATAATTTGCAGACATACCACATGCTTCCTCTATATTTCAAAGAATACGGGCCACTCTCGAGCGCCCGATCAAAATGGCTATGAACTTTATGCTTCCCTTTTCCGCTCTGATCCAATAGTGTCAGCTCGAACAGCGCCCTGACATCAGTGCCCTCACTAGCAAGGGCGATGAAAACAGAGACATACGTGGAAGAATCCTCAATATTCTTACCATCAGGGTAGAAATAAACGGCCCAATCATAACCCCCCACTGTGAATGTATCGCTGGTTATGTACTTTCCGGGACCCATTCCTTTAGCCAGGGAGTAACCCCTGATGGTGAAATGGTGGGACCCATTCACCGTCTCGTTTATCGACTTGGAACATGAATCAGAATCATCCCCCCCACCGCGGTCCTCGTAATCGACGATCATTTCATGAGAACGAATGAAGGTGAAAAAAGAGAATACAAACAGAAACCCTAAAAATGGGGAATCGAATTACCCAGGGATCAAAGTTGAGGTGCGAAAGAGAAGGGGAAATTGATACGTGAGAAGCAAAATTGGAAGGAAATTGAGGGAAGGAAACTACAGTTCGAGCAGGTGTTTGGCTAGCTGGGGAAACTGCAGAAAGCTGAGGAGCGAACGGCAGGAAAACGAAGCGGTGAGGAAACTGTGGTGGTTGGGGAGGGGGGGGGGGTTAAAGGAGGTGGATGGGGTCCGTGGATGATTTGATGTGATGGATTTATGGCTTTTTGGAAGGCTTTGGAATTGGGATGTTACGACGTTAAGAAAACGTCATTTTATTGGCTGCGACTTGTCAAAATCTGGTGGCCCTCTTTTCTTTCTTTTCCTTACTTTTTCATTTTTCGCTTGCTTTTTCTTTTTCTTTCTCTCCCCCTTTTCTTTTTGCGTGGGGTCGTTACTCCCCTCCGTGCGTAGTTTTTTTACGGTAACTTTTTTATATTGTAATGTAAAATATTTTTTACATAATTTTTAAATATATAAATTTTATTTCAAAAAACTTAAAGATTTGTATCTAAATTCACAATTAAAATTAAGAAGTTTAATTCTAAAAAATCGAGTTTTGTCACGTAAATTAAGAAAGAGGGAGTATCTTTTAATGTATACTGCTCCAGAAACAAATTTACAAAATCAGGTTTTCCTTTTTCTATATTTATCTATCTATTTATATCTATATTAATATCTATCTATACTATATTAAAAGTGGAAGCTCTAAGCTAAAAAGTTAAATTACCAATTTACCAATTAAATACCCTAATTGCAAACATTATGCGTACATACAGCTCACCCAAAGCTTGGTGTTCTTTTGCTAAAAGTCACAACCATTCATTCAAAAACCTATCTTCTCAAGTCCTTTTATAAAAAAAAATCTCAAGGCTGATTTAAATTTTTTAATCACTATTCATTGAGTAAATATGTCTTCTTAAAAGAATTATTTTTCGGGTGGGAATAGATATCTCAACTTTAATTGTTAATCTGGCATTGATTGAAAGGAGACGCGAGAGGCACATACTTTAAAGTCGATCTTTCAAGGCTGAGAAGGAAGAAGTAAAAGTGGACAAGCCATGGAATTTTTTTTAAGTATTCATAAGAATACGTGTTGATTAGTGTAACCATTAAGAGATAAGTAGATTCGATGGGTTTACATGGATAGTTGATAACACTCAATTATCTGTTTCATCCAAACCTTTCTTTGTGGGCATATATATTTGGACTATTTTTTAAGCGTGCGTTAACATATCATAGGAGAAAATACAATTAGTGTGGTAAAAAGCAAAGTGGATTAGACCTTTTACCGGTGCATTCGTATATTAATGGTTAAAAACATGGCCAAAAAGTATATGGCATAAATGATAGCATCAAAATCATGGATTCAGAAAAAGAAGAAAGTGAAAATTCAGGTTCTACTTTCTTTATGTTATAGTAAAATATTATAATTATATTAGTGGATGTCTATAACTCCTAAAGAAGTTATTCTCACTACTCTTCTCCATTATGTAGATAATTTCCACTACTTCTCACCATTATAGTTGTAACTCCCACACCTCCATAACCTCCCCATGATCTTCCTCCATGATCTCAAATGTTTAATGTCATATTTATGGTATTCTTTGGTATTGTTTTGTATAGCTCTATGTAATCCTATAAATAGAGGGTTTTGGCACCACATTGTACATACATGACACACTTGAACACTTGATGAAATAAGAAAGTTATTTCTTCTTCTATTATTCTACTTATCTACTTATTTTATATTGTTACTTTGAGCTACATTTCTTTAACACGTTATCAGCACGAATTGTTCTCTGCGACAATCCTTCTCAACTTTTAGGAAATGTGTCAGAACAGAGATGATTTATTTTTGTATTACCATAGCCAAGTAACATTGTAACTTCCAATTTGAAGCCTGTTGGATTTCGTATGGACAGTAAGACAAATATTCTATGATTATCTTATTTTGGTAAGTGGTTCATCATTTCAATGTATACTCCTAAGTATATAATTTTTGTGCTTACTTAAATACCAATTGTAAGGTTTAACATGGCAATATATATAAATGTCTTCTGGCATAGTGCAACATTTTTCATATAGCTACAACTCAAGTATTTATTTCATTCATATTGGATGGTTCATAGTCATACATAAATATATCTATCTATATGGTTTATTATTACTTACAGTGCTGAATTATTTTATGAAATAATAAAACATATGTGGTTTATCATCTATAGCTCTTTAAGTTGAACGTCTTACATTAGAAAATATCCTTGAACTATAACAGAGTTACACGATATATATGGTTGCCAAAGTAATGTAATATTTTTAAAATTTTTGAAGGCAAGTCCCAGTACATGCACTTTAGCTTATTATGCCATTAATTGAGGGTAAGACGGTGGGTTCAAGTCCCAACGCACCACAAGGGTAAGACATCAGGTTCGAGTCCCAATGCATCGTGATTATAAGAGTTAGGTTTGAGTCCCAACTCATTATGGCCTAACATGCCTTTAAATGGGTAAGGCATTGGGTTTGAGTCTCAATGCTCCATACTGATGATATAATGATGACTAAAGAAAATAACGTATTTATCATGAAAAATCATGAAGCTTGTCCCACTTGATTTGCACAATTCTTGAAGTGAATGTGATAGCAGTGCATAAAAAGTCTAAATGAAGATAAGTGGTTGACCAATGAACATGGTGTGCCATTGATCAAATAATAATAGTCATCATTATAGTAATTGTAAAAATGAGAACAATAAGTGTTCTCAAAATATTCCTTCAAAATGTGGAGGTGATGTTTGCCATCAATGTGGTATGAAAATAATAACCATGCTCATATGTTTATAGTCCACTTGAAGAGAATGTGACTTGTGATATGCGTTGTAAATGCAAACTCATTCTTGAAAGTGAACGTGAAAATATATATGTGATTCAAATTATGCATAAGAATATGCTTATACAATATTGGATAAATGCCACTACTCACCTCTAAGGGAGGTTTGAGAAAAATAAAGATAATGAATATTACAATGTGGTCACATGATTATGTCGCTAGTCGCGTACATATGGTATGCCAAAGAAAAAAAATATTTTATCATGTCTTACAAAATGTTATTAAAGGCAAAACTAAAGCAAGAAAAGATTTTTCTTATGATGATTTTGACCATGACAATTATTATGATATGATTTTCTCCGTGAAGGAGACATTCACCATATGAATTGTATGATAAAAGATCTTGTAGTACAAAATCAATTAAGAGCTCCGGAAGAGCAAATTTGTTCATAACATTAATATTGTAGTAAGTCTCAAAAGAAACTTTTTGAGTTTCAAATATATTAGCCAAAGTGGTTGGCATATTGAGACTGTAAATGAAAGGAAGATTGATTATCTTCATATTACTATAATCATACCGGGTAAATATGAAAGGTTACCCGAGTTATAAGCATGATGACGGAATCACATACCATAGTACAGATGTGTAAGGCCCCGTGAAAACTTTTACTCAAAACCCGAGAGCTCGTAGTGCAAAGTTAGGAATACGTGTTTGAAATTTGTAAAATTCTTCGCGGCGAGCAAGCTCGCCGCAGTTTAGACCCTTTGGACTGATCTATGCATTAAAAAGTCAAGGAATAATGTTTTCCAGAAAAGTGCGATTCTGCGGTCGAGAATGCGGCCGCATAATAGCTATGCGAACCGCATAGTCACCGCAGAATGAAACAGTGTGTTGGTCAATTTGAGGTCAACTATGCGGTCAATTATGCGATCGCATAATCGATATGCGGGCCGCATAGTCGTCGCAAATCCCCTTGGGATTTTGTAAGGGGCAGTTCTGCGGTGCATTATGCGACCGCAGAACGGGTATGCGGACCGCATTTCTATCGCATACCCAAACAGTGTCTTTAGGTTTTGTGGAGCATTTTGCGGTCCATTCTGCGAGCCGCATGTCAACTTTTGCGATCGCAGATCTGAGTCGGGCTCCTATTTTCTAATTTTTAAAACCCGACCCCATCCCATTAAAAACACCCCATTAGACAATTTCTCTATTATTTTCCAGCATATAGAGTGAGAGAGGGAGTTCTAGAGTGAGAGGGAGTAATCTTCATCAAGTCCCCTCTCAATCTTTGCCCCAAATACTTGAAGATTGTCAATTGAAATCACTAGGTCTTTATCCTAAGAGGTAAGAATTGTACCCTCATCTATAATTTCGAAATTTCTATTAAAATAGGTAATTAGCAACTGGGTACATGGGTATAAGGGCTAGTAATCTTGCATGCACAATAGATAATGGAGTATTGGGAGGTTGTGAATTAAAAAGATAGCAATTGGGGTATAAAATAACAGAAATCTCTCACAAAAGGGTCCTAGAATCACTGTGCACACTTAGTGCTTGGTCATATGCTCGAATAAACTAGAATCCCAATCATGTCTCTAATTCTTGATTCAATTTGCAATTCTTATAATATAGATTGAAGTGCTGAGAGTCCCGGAATTTATTATAAAGATTTAAGGAAAGCTCCATTGAGGTATGTATGGCCAAAACCTCGTCTTCTAGAAATTGAGCTTCATTGGTGCTTGTGTAAATGCGGAAGACTAAAGCTTGAGTTCTTGCATTGATTGTTATTACACATGAATTGGTGCTGCAACCTTGTATGCGTGAAAGATGTGTCTCAACATGATCAATGTGTTATCTTGATAGCTTAAAAAGGGGCAAAGAATATGAATCGTGTATTGAAGTGCTTAGACCTTAAATTAAGATTGAAGTTGCGTATGTTGTGCCATCTATGTGAAGTCTCATCTATACTTGCAATTTAAATAACTCCTGTGTGCACCTATTTCCCTAAATTTCAAATCTAGCATTGAAATTGGGAATGATGTGAGATGTGGCCTAGTGCCAAATATATGACGTGATAGTTGTGGCCCCAAGTGCCTATGAAATGATTTATGGGAAACAAAAATTGAAATGAGATGATTGATGGAAAAGGGTAACGCCTTGGTAAGGCGGCCTAGCCGATTGGGCCGAGATCGGACGACATGTTACGCACATGGTGGTAATGTGTTTGTGATTGAAGTGAACGTCTCCAATGAGGCGACCTAGACGATCGGGTCGAGATAGGACTCTGCTCAAGTTAGCGGTGGTAATGTGAACAATGATGAACAGTATGAATGCCCAAAATGAAAGCTATAGAAACACGATGTGAAAATTGTATGATTCTTTTATTTGAGAATGTTGTGGCCATTTAAAG